TTTTTCTTCTCTAAAATAGTTTTTTGACGGTTTGTCACTTTGCTTTTTTTTCTTTTTATTTTTTTTTACATTTTTCCTGATGACGCTGTTGGCACTGGTTCGAATGCATGAGGGGTTTTGGCGCTTTCGACTTCTGTGCTTAAGATTCAAATAAAAATACTGGACTTTCATGATGACTGCGCGGATAGAAAAAGAAGAAAATATAATTGAGACAGTTTTGATTTGTTGTATATCATGACACCCTCCTAGGTAGGTCGTGCATTGGCGTGAAAGCGGCCTATATAGGGCCGCCGTATCTGTACTGTGGGCATTATTGTATCCAGCGCAGTGTCTTTCTGAAGGAGTAATGTTGCTCCCGTCCAGTGTTGTCGACCGATCCGTGTGAACCCGTGAAGTGCGCCAACCAGGACGTACGAAGACGAGGACCTCGTGCCTACCCCCAATAATTGTCGACGAGCCGACTTGACGGACCACAGTACCTGGTCAGTCGACTGAGGAGTCCGGACCCAGGGAACCTAACAGATTCATGTCTGGGTGGTTTATCTCTATAACATTCGAACAGCGAACTGTCGGTGGTAATTTTAAAAATTTACTACATTTATCCGCAGATTGCTTTCATTGCCCACTATCGTGACTGTGAAACAACAGCTGCTCAAATTATACAACTTTTTTTTTTAAAACTGTCCCTGACGCACCACATCGAGCACTAGGTACTACATCGAACTTCAGTGCTTGGCTATATATAGCTACCTAGTGATAGCTATACGTTTATAATTATATACAAGAGACTATGGTTGTACAAAGTACTTGTGTAACCCTATAGTTGCACCTGTTTCCCTCCTCCCACTAATTCTTAACACTTCGGCCTACTTCCCTCCACTTACTAACTTCTAACAATTCCACCAAATTCTAAATGATTCCATATTACCCACCTTCCCACTCACTAACTAACTTGCCCTCCTTTTCGCTCCATTAATTTTTCCTCTCTAAACCCCTTCCTAAGTCCCAGCTCTCAGCTTTGTGGACATCGACAGGATCGACGGCGCCGTCACGTCCTACTACCAACGCTGCTAGCGTCCCGCCTCAATGCTGCTAGTGTTCTTCTGTTAATAGCTTGTGCGGCGCCTTGGGTCATCGTTTTACGCATCGTTCCGTTTGTCGTTTTACGCGTCGTCCCGTTCGTCGTTTTACGCGTCATTGCTCGTCATTTTTTCTCTGGAGCGAAGCTGTTATTGAAAAAATAAACTGCTGGTATTTCTTCCCTGTCTTTCGCTGCTGCAGTCAAGGACCACGTGAGGGCCTAACACTTGAAATACGAGAGGAGAATAATAAATTGTAGCAAGGCTCCGGGGAATCGAAGTTTCCTAGAGCAGGATGGTCTGAGGAAGGAATAAAACACACTCTACCACAAAAAAACACACACCCACGTAGGCACACATACACTAGTCTTGATGGTCGCGAAAGTACTAACTGTGTGGTACGCAGTCCAGGATCGAAAAGTTTAACGTAGCTGTGCCCGGTATGCTGATGAACCCCTGTAATATTATTGACATGAGTTACCCAAACTAATATTAGACGGTTTTGGTATTAGCATAAATTTCCCCCGTTTACAGGAAGTGATATTTTCAGGTAATATCGCTTCGTGATTCGCTGATCATCCGATCATCAGCCAAAAAGCATATTGTTACAGTAAATGGTGTTTCCGCCTGTATAATTGAATACAAA